TGTTGTTGTTGTTGTTGTTGTTGTTGTTGTTGTTGTTGTTGTTGTTGGTGTGGTTGTGTAAATTGATGTATGTGAGTCGTTGATGTGTGAGTTGTCAGTTGCGAGGAGGCGGAGGAGGCGAGGAGGAGGAGGCGCAAGCGGAGGCGGAAGTGGAGGCGGAGGAAGCGGGATGCAGCCGGAAAAACAAGAACCCCACACAAAGATGTGGGGAACAAGATACAGTAGTGATAGTGCAAGCCACCAGATTGCCCATGCAACCCAGTACAAGGCTGCTTATTAAACGATGCCACAAGTCCTATCTCATCCTGCTCTACCTATAGTCACCTAGGTGCCAACGCCTCCTTTACATGATGTGGAAGTTACTTGACTTATCCTACTATAGACTATAGGCTATAATCTTATGTCACTTGACGCCTCAACTCATGTGATTTATTCCCAGTATATGACCTGTGACGGTGTGTGCCCAATTAGTCGCAATCAGCAATGTGTTCTTGTTCAGATTGGGGACGACTTGTTGATACGCCAGTCGTTGTGCCCAGCTGAGGGCACATACCGGCACCATTTGAAGGAGTTCTTCCCTTGCGAAGTGGTGGGGATGCGCCACCGGCCTATTCTCCGAAGGCCACCCTGTTTGAGAATGTTTTAGGGTCATCCGAGTTGAAACCATTGATTTCAATGCTGCATGTTCGTTGAGGCAAAGCTTCCAAGATCTAGTGCTTACAAGCTGTTCTTGGCGGAAGGAGGTGCAGGTCGAAAAGGCTGGCACCTCCTGCCTCCAGACTTGAAGGCCAAGGGTCCAGTCGGGGGAGTCAGCATTGCCAAAATTTTGGTAACGCCTGTCAAGCAGACAAATGATGCAGGCCCGATACCGTGCACATCAATCCAAACTCCGGCGGAGAATCGTGACCCAGCCTTTTGACTGCAGAAATGTGGCCAGAGTGCCTCAGTGTCTCAATTAGCTGGCATGGCCTCAGTGCTTCACAACCAAGCTGTCAATTTTTCGAGTGATTCTTGCGCATGATTGCCATTGTGCTTTTCGCAATGTGTTGTGAGATCACATGCTGAGATCACCGGCGGCAGCAGCTCGCTCCAAAGCAGTGGCGATCTTGAAGCGGCGCTTCGCACCAACTTGGCTAGGCAGGTGGAAGCCTTTTTGCTGCATCCATTGCGGAGACGGCAAGCCTTTTTGGGTAGCCCAAAGAACTTGGATAACCAAGGTCGCTGTCACGTCGAGCTGGCAAGATGTCCGATGAAAAAGGGATAAAAAGGAGCTCGCATTGCATCGCATTGCTACGATGGTGCTTGACAATGCTTGATGACTGTATTCCATTTTGCGTTGACAATCCCGAGTCTCAGGTCAAGTCGGCAAACCTTCTTTTCCTGCAGGGACCGTGTCGACCTTATTAGACCCACGTTGCATACGTGTGCCAGTTGTCTCATTTGTCCCTTGATGGCTTTATTTCAGGCTGGAGTTGCCAAAACCAATCACACTGACATCCGTTTTCAGAAATCTCTTGCTTATTATGTGCATTGGCTCCAGCGTTTGACTGTGGCCCTCAAGTTTGCAGTGCTCCTCGCATCGCCATTGCGTCGTGTGCCCGATGCTGCAGATGCCAACTCCAGGTTACGGGCAGGCTCGTCAGGGACCCAGCCGGCCCACCACGCCAGTGCCGGACATCCGAAGGCTGTACGGCGCACAGTCGGGCCTTCCCGAGGGGCCAGTGAAGGCTTTGGACCAGTCACAACTTGTGAAAGGCCAGCAGCTGGACTATTGGAGTGATCACAACAGGTGTTGGATGCCAGCCCTTATCACAGAAGTGGACAGCGAATCGGGTGGCATTTGTCTCAATGTGAAGCCCAATGCTTACATTTCTCGGGCTGACCAACGCCGAAAGATCCGGGCACGCACCATACCCCGGAAAGAACAGGTTGCCATGATGCGGGCCATTTTGCAGCAAGAAAAGGTCGAGGAAGTGGCCGAGCAAATTTACATCAGCGCAGCTGGATCAGACAGTCGCTCAGTACCAATAGAGCAAGTGCCCAACCTTGGAGCCTACCTGGACAACTTGCTTGGGCTTGTTGGGAGTCAAATTCATTTGACCCAATCTGCCCGGAGTGACAATGGGCTGACGATGGATGAATTCAAGAAGGTTTTTTGGGAATTGCTTCAAATGCAGCAAGACATTTCAGTTCAAGCGATCCCTCGCTTTTCCATCGAGTCAATTCGTGAAGGGTCTCCTTGGGAGAAGTACAGCAAGGGCAAGGAGCTGGGACATGGGACCTATGGCTATGTTTACCTGGCCAATGACAAGCACTCGAAGCAAGTGCGAGCGGTCAAGGAGATTGCCAAGGAAAAGCTGCAGGGAGACATGCAGGCAATGAAGAAGGAGATTGAGAATCTCACAAATCTTGATCACCCTCATATTCTGAAACTCTATGAGGTCTACAGCACCAATGGCCATATCTACCTTGTCACAGACTTTTGTCCAGGTGGTGAGCTGCACAGTCACATTTCGGCAGCAAGGAGGAGCCGACAAGAAATCCCAGAATCTTGGATTGCAGAAGCCATGTTGCAGCTGATGCAGGCCATTTGTCACATCCACGTGCGCGGCATCATCCACTTGGACCTGAAGTCACAAAACATCATGCTGATGCCGAGTCAGAAGACGGCCGCCTTTTTTGGACAGGATGCTCCCTCACAAACAGGGTTTGCGACCAAGCCACACTTGATCGTGATTGATTTGGGTATTGCGATGCACTTCAAGCCAGGAGACTACCGAGGAAATCGCCCTATGGGAACACCAATGACGATGGCTCCCGAGGTTTGGTGTGGGGAAATCACTCCTGAGGCTGATGTTTTCAGCTGTGGCTGTGTTTTCTTCGAGCTACTTAGTGGAGACATGCCCTTCCGAGTGAAGTTCGAAGGCAACTTCGAAGACATTGTCAAATTTTGGCGTTCCAAGCCGAGGCCTGCTTCTGTGCGGGCATCTGCTGATGCCCAGGACCTTCTGAAGAACATGCTTGCGCAAGAGCGCGGCAAGCGTCCATCTGCCTCTCAGTGCCTTGGGAGTGCTTTTCTCAAGAAGGCAGTGCCGAAGGGCAAGGGCAGCTTGGATGATGCCAAAAGGGAAGCTCTCATCAAAAGGCTTGGAACCGTACATTGCAGGTCTGTTCTGTACAAGAACGTGGCGCTCACCATCGCCCAAGATTGGCCACCAAATCAGATGCCAACATTCAAACAGCTTTTCAATGAGCTTGATGTGCTGGGGACTGGGGCTTTGTCAAGCGAAACCCTGGAAGAGGCACTTATGAGGCATGGCATCGAGCAGGGTGAGGCAACGCGTGCAGCTTCAGCCATGAACCTCAGCCAAGACAAGGCCGCAATCCACTGGACGGAGTTCGTTGCAGCTTGTATTGACTTGAGCCTTCCTGAGTTTGAACCAAAGGTCTTCAAGATCTTCCAAGATGCGGACACGGACAAGGATAACCTTTTGGCCGCAGATGACCTGATGAACACCTTCCCCCAAGGCCACAAGTATTCCAAGGAAACGGCAGCAACCATTTTTCGAGATCTCACTGGCCGGGATGCTCAAGACAAAGGAGCACGAATGGACTGGAGCACTTTCTACCGCCACTTGCGTAGCTGCGCGCTCAATGGCCTTGACGCTTCCTTGGCTTCGGATTTGCAATCATTGCAGTCTTCTCAGTGGGGCATCTTCAGTGGGGTCGTGGATGTAATCAGCACCGCTGCTTCCACTTACTTTGCTAGTGGAGGTTCTCAGAAATCTCCACATGGGGTGACTTTCCCAGGTGAAAAGGCTCCGCAAAGCATGAAAGATATGCTTAAGGCTTTGGCAGAGATGGGCTTCTCACAGACGGAGCTCAATAGGAAGATCATCAGGGAGAAAGGTGGCAGACTTGGTGATGACGTCATCGAGGCTATCATGCAGCGAAGCTGAAGCAGCTAAACCGACGAAACGCAGAACCGTCACCACATGTCAAAGCCACTGTTTGTTTGGAATTCGTTTCGTGCCTGTGCGCCTTGCCCTCTCATTAGAGCAACTTCAGCCAATGGTTGAGCTTGGCAGAGTGCCTCCACAAAGCATTTTGGGAGGAACCTGTTGGATTTTTCAATGTTTTCCCTGGACCACGCAGGGTTTCGACAGACCTCTGGCCTGTCAGGATCAGAGCAGAGAAGGAATACACTTTGTACAGGATGTGACTGACCGCACAGGCCTAAATTCGCTTCAGGATTACTTGTGCAGGGACTTCCTGCCAGGCAATCAGCTCTTGAGTTTGAGCAGTGAAACTTTGACAAGAGTTGCCATGTGCAAAGGAGACACAAATGCGTTGATATTTGCGAGGGTTTGGAAGACAAGATGCCACACTCGGTGCAAGAGATGTGCAAATTTTCAACGGCCATTGATTTCCTGCGACAACCCAGGTTTGCAACAATGCAAGCGTAAGACGAAGCGCCGCCCAAGTACAGAACCGGTCTGAATGTGTGGAAAGGCTCCAACATTGCATGGATGGATGCAGTCATTGCATGGTAGATTGGATGTAGGATCAAGCTCGCACGGATTTTCTTCGGTCTACTTTTCGAGTATCATCTCCCTACCACCTGTTGCGCAAATGAATGTTTGACCCCCTTGCAACCTCAGGCCACTGGCAATGGCTTGGAAGACTCACATGCAGCCAGTTCTGATGACATGTGTTGCGCTTCTGGTGGAGGCAGTGTGCATGCATGATCACCACTGCTCTTAGATTTTGAATAAGTCAAGGTGAGTCTCATATTGCACATTGGGCATGCAAGCACTGCAAGAGTTTGGGTGTGATCCCGACTGCAGGTTGGCCAGCACACTTTTCCTGAGGTCCAGAGTTTTTCCGACTCAACCACTTGAGGGGAGATCGCTGGATAAGCTCCAAGCAGTCTCAAGCAGAGGCAGTCTTTTCTATGTGGGCCCATTTCCTACTCAATTCATGCTTTGCCTGTGAAACTGCACAAGGCCACTGATCCTTTGAATTTGGTCTTAGCAAATGGGACGTCGAAAGAAGGCAGAGCGCAGCACACAAAGGGCGAAAAATGTGAGATCGCTGGTTGATGTATCTCTTGGTATGCCTGACGCTTTGCTAATTTGCGGCAGCTGTTATAAAGGTTCAACCTGGGGGTCACAGGTGCCATACCACACATACAACGAGCACTTTTTGCAAGTCAAGGCTAGCAGCTCAGACATGGAACCACCACCTGTTGACAGTATCAACGATACTTGATGCTCAGCAAAAAGACGAAGTCGCAGCACTATCTGTAGCATAATCACCCAGTCAGATATGTATAATGTATATGTATGTATGTATGCAGGCACAATCATGCGCATACGGCAAAGCACGCACAGCTAACTCCCTAAAATAGAGATTGCTTGGCTTAACTAGACTTGCTTCGTTTGACTGCTGCTGCTACCGCTGCTGCTGCTTGTGCAGGTGCAGATTTGCAACTTTTGGTTTGCAATAATTGATATGCGAGCATCCAAACAGTGAGAACCAGCCCGGATTCCAACATACTGAATCCATGTTCCGGCTTGCAACTATGGCCAGGTGCATGTCTGTTCCTGATGAGGCACTTCCTGCACTGGTCGCCCAAGCATGTTTGGGAGCCTGCTAAATTGGCTTTCAGATTCTTTCAGCCAAGGTGGCTGGGGGTGCCGCGGCCTGAAATTCTGAGTTGTGCTTCGCTGTGCCGATCACGGGGTAACAAGTGCGTAAGATTGTAATTGTTATTGCATGGGAGGTTGGCATCGTAGCCGCGGTTGCCGTTGGCCTAGTATAAATTGCAGAACTTGCCTCAAAGGGCTCACTTATATATAAGTATATACTATTAATTCCTATGGCTGAAGACGGCTACTTTGTTCTCCTGTGCGGAACGGGCGAGCACGAACTCCACAATTTCGCATGCGACCTCAAGGTCTTCGTATGCAGTGGTGCTTCCTCACAGCCAACAACGTGGGACAAAGAGGAAAAAGATGACAAGAAAAGGGAAGACAAAGAAAAGCGGAAAGGGAAAGAAGATGGTAGAAAACAGACAGACACGGAAGAAGAGGACGTGGAGGCCTGAGTCCGCCTGACAAAGCTCCATGACTTCATGGTAAAGTAAGTCAACGTGTCAACTCTTGAGGAAGATAGCGATGCAGATGGTGATGGCGAAGATGATGGACCGAAATCTACACAGCTTTAGGGTGCTGTTGACCCAGGATGCTGGCGTTGATTTATGCATGTGTGCGTGTATGTATGTATGTATGTAATGTAATGTAATGTAATGTAATGTAATGTAATGTAATGTAACGTATGTAATGTGTGTATGTATGTAATGTGTGTATGTATGTATGTATGTATGTATGTATGTATGTATGTATGTATGT